TAGATTAAAAATTTTATTTATATAAATCATATATGTTAAGTTTTATATTATTCTAACGTTTGTAACTTTTGATTCAAAAAATTTTATTTAATGATTTATATTTAATAATATTAAATTTTGTATAATTAATAAAGTAATTAAATTTATTAAAATAATTTGAAAATAAAATTACATAATTTATATGAATAAAATTTTAATTTAATAATTAATTTTTTAAAATATTGATTAAAAAATAATTTTGTAAATAGATCTTAAAAAAATCCTTTGAGGGAATTGCTTGAAAACCACTATTTCCTATGCAAAATATAAAATCAATTACAATATTTATACGGATAAATATTAGGAGGCCGAACGGTACGTGGCAGCTCCACCTCCGTTAATTTCTTATCGTTTGTTATGGTTAAATTAAGAACTGGTCCCTTAATTTAGCAATTTAAATTTTTTTAGTCCCTCAAATTTTATGAACTATTTTTTAGTTTTCAAACTTCAATTAAAAATTAGTTTTTAGTGTGTTAGGATTTTAGATTATTTTAAATTTCAATACTTAGGATGTTAAGGTTTGGTAGAAAAGATATAAATAAAATTATCAACTTTACATTTTTTTCAATTTAAAGATATTAATTTTGTCAATTTCTAAAAAAATATATCAACTTTTAACTTTTTATTTAAAAGCGTTAACTTTCAATTTTTTTAATTTAAGGATATCAACTTTTAACATTCTAGTTAAAAAAATCCATTTGTCATGTTAACTTTATTATTCAATTAATCCCTAAATAAAAAAGTTGAAAATTATTATTCTTAAATAGAAAAAAATTGAAAGTTGATATTTTTATTTAAAAACAAATAAAATTAACACTCTTAAATAAAAAAAATATATAAAGTTAGTATCCTTATTTATACTTTTCTCATAGAATTTGGACTTTTTAAAGTTTATTAGCATTTAAGGTGTTAAAGTTTAAATTTTTTAGAATTTAGAATTTAATAAGCATATCACGGTTGAGAATTTAGGTGTTAGGGTTTAGATTTTTAAGGTTAGGGTTTATATTATTAGTTTTTAGGGTTTAGTATTTAAATTTAAGATTTAATAATTTAAAAATTAAAGTCACAAGACTTAAAAATTAAAATTAAAAGTTATTATATCTAAAAAAAAAAAAAACAAAATAACTATAAGAACCAATCAGCTTGCGTACGGATCAGTCCTTATGGCATTGCTCTATTCAATACATATGACATAAATTCACTAAGTAATTAGCATACAATTATATCCAATTTTTTCCTCTCTCTTTTTTTTTTTCCTTTTTCATTTTAAGACATTATAACTTAGAAGAAAAGTAACCTAAAACCTCATTACCTCATTTAATTTAAAGATTTAAAATCTTCAACAATTGAATCAAAATAAAGTTTTTTCTAATCTCACTTTCAATAGAATGTAGAGAATTATTGACACTCCAATAATATTAACCTATAAAATATTTTACAAAGAATTATTGTTAAATAATAGTTTATGACAAAATTTCAATTTTTAATTATATTTTTTATGTACTTAAATATTTGTGCATGATAAATATAGGTTCCTTAGAGCTCAAGTTAAATGTATATCAAATTAACCAATAATGAAGGAAAATGATATTCTAAGCCCTAACTATCCTTCGCCCTTGTAGCAAGGTATATGGCATAGTTCATAAACAAAATGATATTCTGTTCAATCTAGATATTTGAATGTTTTGATTACTTCAATCCACTTTCATGCACTCATTCTTGGCTTTGCTTTCTTTCTTGTTCCAGAGAAGAAGGATTGGAGTTCATAGGATGTTTGAATAAATAAACCGACTGATAAACTTCATCTCAGGTACATTAAGAAAATGTAGTAGTAAATAAAAGAAGGAAAAGTGATTTGCTTACAATGTTTTCTTACAATCATTATTAGTTATGATTGGCTCCTTTTAGTCAGTTAGGCTCATCAACTAGTATATATCTAATTATTTGATACAGCCAAGGGACTTTGGTTTTGTTGAGAAAAGGGTTGTCCCAGGGGCCAATGAGGTAATTCATCGTGAATTCCCTATTTCGAGTGTGGATTGCTTTTGACCAGATTTGAGAAGAACTAATTTTAAGATATATGCAAGTTTAGATCACGAATACTTTGATTGGTGAACCATAAAATAAAAAAAAAAAAAAAAGATCTACTCATTTAATGTCATGTGACTATTGTTAAATTTGAAAACATTGTGACTCAACTCCAAAAAAGTAGTATGAAAACGTGATAGATGTTTCGTTGATAACAGTTGATAAATTCAAAAAAGTTGTTCACAGCTCCCCACCATGGGAAAATTTTAAAATCCTAAAGCCTCTATCCACTTACTACTAGTTGCTACTTCACTTTTGCAACACGGCTTTAGCAATTTTCACGTCAGGTGCAAGATAACGTTACAACAATAATCTTTGATCCAGTTCTCATAAATGTCGAGGAATTTAAAAAGAAAATTTATAAGGAGAAAAACAATCCTCTGTGCTTCTAACAAACTAGGATGCCCCGTGTCAACTTCACATGAAGCTTCTCGGAGAGCTATGTATCTATAGTAACATCAAGGGGAAAATCAACAAAACGCTAGCACTTTTTATCACTCATCCTATGAAGTCTAGGATGGCAACCCCTTTTATTTCAAATTGTAAATAGTGATAATGAGAAATTTTCATAATTTTGGCATTCTTCATGATGCAAGATGGGTCGACAAAACAAATGGTTTAAGGACATGAAATATAAACCTTAGATGTGGAAATAGAGAAGTACATGCATCTAAAGCCTCACTTTTATCAATTTAAATTTGAATTTTAGATGACCCACTTTTATTAAACAAAACCATTTAGTATTGTGTCCTATAAAACATCCATATTGCCATAGCCAAGATTGTATAACCTCAAATGAAAACTTATTTCTCTACTATTCATCTTTTTTCTTGACAACCAAGCAACCTTAATTCCCACTTCCAAAACTAATAAAATAATGACCCATATTTATAGTCACTCCAAAATACTATGTCTTAAAGCAAGATAGAGAATTATAAGAACCCAACAATTCCAACACAAACTGTCAATTAGAATCCAAAAGAACAACAATTTGAGATAAAACTTTAAGAAAGCATCATCCATTCAAACGAATGGGAACCCATAAAAGCACATTAATATCGGTCTAACTATTAAATTGTGAAATGTGACAATGGAGAAGATTTAGTAAATTGTGTACTTTGGTTGAAAAATCACCCAACTTTGGGGCCAATAAGCACTCAGATAAAAATATTAACATCCTAAAAAGCCAAGTATTCTCGATAACCTGGAAAATTTCAGAGTGAAACCGAAAAGGGAATTCATGTATGGCCTTTTATAGTGCTTAAAACTTACCAAGGAAACGCAGGAGGGTGGGAGGGAGAGTCACGCCAGGTAATTGGAATGGGAGCGTGAAAGGGTGTGTAAAGGGTTAGGGATTGCCCTCATTAGTAAAAATGTAAATTTGTAATATTTATTTTTTTATTTTTCTAAATTGTGCCATACAAGTAAA